GCACAAGGAAGGGAAATATAATTTTATTTTAAATGAGGGAGGGGGTTGGGGGGGGGTGAAATATGTAAGTGAAAGTCAGCAGTTACGAAAAAAAATATTATCTGGATTTTTTAATAAGAAAAGAGTCAACAGATTCAATAATAAAGTTTCACATATAAAAGAATTTCCAAGAGTACAGAACAACACATTTGTCGTTCATTTCTCTGTAATAATAATCTCCATCCATGAGATCAGTATTTTAGCGTTTGTTTATAAACTTTTAAACACGAGAACTGTGGACATTGTTTACATCTTGAGGTTCCTTAAGTCAAATTCACATTAAGAAACAAACGACAACATGATCTGTCGCTCAAAAATATTCAGAATTTGAACAAGATTTCATCAGAAACGATTAATTTCTCATAAGAATTCACTATATTATAACAAACAATAGCAAATTTTTAATATATTCAATAAACATGATCTTAATCGCGAATGCGACTTAATAGGATATATCGAGTATACAATAGCCTTCACTTATTAACCTGTCGACCCTATCTTGGACAGGTAAGGTGGCGTGTGAAGCATTGGCTGAAACGCCACGCCCACACGCCCTCCTGTGACGACACGTACACGCATCTTTCTGTGACACCACGTTCACGCACACCCCTGTGACGCCACGTACACGCACCTCTCCATGACGTAACATTCACTCTCTCTGTGACGCCACACACACACACACACACACACACACACCCGTCACTCTTGTGTGTGCAACATGTTATCTGTGGCGTCACGTGTACAAGATCACACAAACAAAAAGGTTTGTGACGCCACAGGGACACTCACTTTTGTCGTCACAGTCACCCACAGCGCCAGGAAACCGGGAAAGAGTAAAGAAGAAACATCTCCATCTTGCAAATACGTAAATACAGTAAATGAAACACCTGTTGTAAAAAATATATGAATGTTTGTGGTTTAAGATTTGTGTTTATTTCTCAACCAATTCGACGTTAACAATCCCCAGTTAAAGACTTCATCCAAACGTAAATATGGATGTACTTTATCAGATTAATATATAAAACTTTTTGTTGCACTAATTAGATGTAATAGTAATAATCCAAGTTTACTTACAACACAAAATAGTGTCTTTCAGTAAGATTGTATGTGATGTACATATTTTTGTCTAATTCTTGTGTCTGTCTGTTAGTACATATCAAGAAGACTGTTATTATTACCACTATCTCACTACATCTTCTTAAACTTAAACTTCGGTAAATAAATACAAGTTATGACCCGTGTCTATTATAACGCGTGTTAGTCCCATATGACGATAAATAATAACGTGGGATTATCAACACGAAGTGAACTTTTACGATAATTGACCCAGTTAAAGTGTGATGATGACCCCGTTTTCCTTAAGGGGAGACAACACCGTGTTCCAGATACTGTACCCTGGGCCGGGGTGCGTGCTGAGGGGGAACGAAAGTGACTTGTCAGTAAGCAACTCATTATTTCCTTTATTGGAATATTTTTGATTGATGAGGTATAGAGACAGAGGAAATGAACGAGACAATATATTAATATGTCATGAGGTGTAAATGGTTGTTTATCTATTTATTTATTTTCAAAGTGCAAATACAAAAAATTGCGACATGATTTTCCATTCTCTCAATCTAAATAAAGACTATGACACAGTTAAACAATATACATACATTCATTCATCCACATACGAATCATAAATGCTGATCACATCAGCTGATAAAATACCTATTCAGAGAACATCAAATAAAACTTCGATTAAAAATAAAAAACTGGTAACTCAAATTCGCAAGTTCTAATTCGAGTTTATTTAAAGCTTCCTCTGTATTTTTTTTATTATTTTAATATTATTCTCTGCATTATTAAACTTATTCTATGTGAGGATCATAACATTCTTTATTTGAACTTTTAAAGTGTAGTTGAATCTGAGATTCGAAAGCCGTACTCCCTTTTGACGTTTTCCTTAGCACCCGATACCTCGAGACGGAGTTCAACTGTACCATATATATATATATATATATATATATATATATATATATATATATATATATATATATATATATATATATATATATATATATATATATATATATATATATATATATATATATATATATATATATATATATATATATATATATATATATATATATATATATATATATATATATATATATATATGTGTGTGTGTGTGTGAGAGTGCATATATACGAGCATGTTTTTGTGTGTGCATGTGTGAATATCCGTAACTATTGGTGTATTCATTTGTTTATATACTTTCTATAAGTGTGCGCATCTATATATTTTCCTTTACGTGTTCTTTAGAATATATGTATATGTGTTGCATTATGTATGCTTATGTGTACGCTAATATACACTTCGAGCAGATTAACCCACACGAAAAATGCAATTATCCGAACACAAGACGGTATACCAATAACCTACGATATTAACCAACACAATAATCTAACTTTCCTTCATGACTGTTGGCAACATACGAGACGGAAATTATATAAAACTATCTCAAATATTTGTTTTGTCTCTACCACCATATAAATAACAGATCCGAAAACAGAGTAACAAATTATTCAAATGATTCAACACTTTAGATTATATGTTGTCAATACCTATAGAAGGGTTGCTATTATGTGAACCAGAAATGCAAATAATTCACTAGATGTATTAATAATTTGGGAATATTTATCGGGTATATCTGGGCTTTGAAAAATCACCATAAAATAAATGAAATTAGAGGATTTGTGGTGATATATTTGTGTTTGGTTATTTTTTATGGTCAGTGTTGGAAGATACACAAGAATATCTAAACTGGGTGTTTTTTATTAATATTTCAGGTAAACACACACATATTCACATCATACAACACACACACTCACATACACACATCATAGAACACACACACACGCACACATATACACATAATACAACACACACTCAAATACACACACACACATATACACATCACACAACAAACACTCACACACACACACACACACACACACACACACACATATATATATATATATATATATATATATATATATATATATATATATATATATATATATATATATATATATATATATATATATATATATATATAGATACATACATCATACAACACCACACACATATATATACACATCATACAATAATAATATATAATGGAAGCCCCTCGAAATCGAGGATGGCCGGCCCAAGGGCCTCCTAGGCGTGAATTTGTTAAGGTGTAGAAGCTGTCGCCAACACAACAACCACACCCCAAGTTAACGAGCTGCATGACCCAGTGTCAAGGAATAGTCCGAGAAGACTGGACAACTCCCCAACTGTAATGGCTAACCATTACCCCGGAACACGATTCGCAAATCTATTCACATCCAGGTTCCCAATTACTGCTGCAAATGGCGTGAAGAAACTTGCCCATAGTTTCATCCTGCCCGAGGATCGAACTTGGGTCCGCTCGCTTGCGAGGCGAGGATGCTGACCACACACACACACACACACACACGTACTCGTGTTCTGGCGCACATACGATCATTATTATCTTCAAGCTGGTTTATGTAAGGGAAAATCACAACAAAAAATCGTGTTGAAAATCGTTATGAGGTTTTAAACATCTAAGTTAGAGTAATGGTAAAAATCCAGGTAGTTAGGAAGAACGACTATCCCACATTCGCATCTAAGAAGAACGTCTACAATACAACAAGCTTTGTTTAGTTAACATTGTCAGGTATTTATATATAACACAGCCATTAAGGGGGCCAAAACTTGAGCACATTCTTTTGATACGACAGTAGACGACAGGTACACTATACATCCTGGGAATAAAGTTTACTCCTCTTTTTCTTTTCTTTTTCATAGTACGTACGTCATGTGGACTATTGATGGTATACTATATCCTTGGACAGAATTTTCTCCTTTTATCCCCTAATACGTACGTTATATGAACTGCTGATGGCATACAATATCCTGGGATTAAAAATGTTCTCCGACGGTATAAAAGATCCATTAGAAAATATAAATAAATAGATTTCGGTTTTTTTGGGTATATATTCACGTAAGATGTTCAAGCCATTAATATACTGTAGTTCTGTTATATAAATTAAACCTTTTTATTTTTTGTAAAGTATAATTTGTGACTAGAATTTATACCGTCTTTTGAATCACTAATATATATACAAAAATTATGTCCATCCTCGTTACTTTGGGTCAATTTTACGATATTTTGTGATTATGGTGTTCAAGGACATTTTAAAAGATCAACTTATTAATACGGATTTTCCTTATTTTTACTGAAACATAACGTAAATAAATCTAGTGAAATGTGTCAAAAATGATCCCCTGCTTTCCTGTCAGTCTGAATTACTGTACGTTCTATTGTCAAAATTTTTCGTTTAAATCACTAGAGCAAGTTATTTTTCCTTAAATTCTTTAGTTTTAGTTCTTTTTTTTTTTAATTCGATCGAGTTTAATTAATAATACTTAAAGTTCGTCATTGTTATTTTGAGTAAGTTTGGAGAGAAGTGTCTGTAAGAGGTCATGGCGTGGGTAGGTAGTGAAGATCAGGGTAGTGATGGGTGGTCACAGTACCTGCCTCTCTAACCTGGCCCGCTAAGGTGGTCTTAACTAGCAGTTCCTCCAGGTACGATGATGAATGACGGGAATGACCGTGATATAGATGTGGCTAAAGAAAATGTTACAGAGACTTGTGACTGGGGAAAATAACTGTGGCATAGACTTGTGAGTGGAGAAAATATTACATTGATTTGTGACTGGAGTACATGGCTATGTAATTGAAGTAAGTGACTGGGATATTTTAGACTGGTATAGATAACTGGCATATAGCTGAGTGCTGGGCATCGATAAGTAAGATATAGTCGAGTGACTGTAATGAATAACTGATACATAGCGAGGTAACTGGCTTATATAACTGTTATCTAGACGAGTAACTGGCTTCGTAGATAATTTTTTTTTTTTTAGACAAGGACTAAATCACTTTAGTAAACCTATTCCGAACACGGTGATAAAGACAATACGAACAGTACAATAAACACGATTCGAACGCTACAATAAATACAAACCAAACACTTCAGTGAACACATTTCGGACATAAAAGAAAGGCAAGTGAACATGTCAGTGAAAATATCTCGAACACCCCAGTAAAAGCATTTCGAACACCTCAGTCTAGCAGTCCAGCCCTTAAACAAAATAGCGAACACTGTAATAAACACAAATTTGAACACAACAGGAATTAAAAAAAAACAACAACAACAACGGAACATTACAGTAGACAAAACCTAAATAACAAAATACAAATAATTACAACACTGCATTAAGTAAACAAAAAACCGAACGCTTCAGTGTAAACAAAATTTATCACAATAAACAAAAGCCGTTCACAACAGTATAAACAAAAACCCAAAACACTGACAGAAAATTACATAAACTTTAGCTAAATATATGTTATTGATAATAACAAGTGGTTTTACCTTTTTCATCAGATAATTTACAGCGATAGTTCAGATGACTTAACCCCTTGAGTATGATGAATTAAAACCTGAAGTAAGATGAATTAACCCCTTCACTAACGATGATTCAACCCCTTAAGAATTATGAGTTATCCCCCTTGAGTACGATGAATTAACCCCCTTGAGTACGATGAATTAACCCCCTTGAGTCCGATAATTTAACCCCCTAAAGAATGATGAGTTAACATCCTTGAGTACGATGACTTAACCCCTTCATTACGATGCCTTAACCCCCTTGAGCACGATAACTTAACCCCTTGAGTATGATGACAACCCCTTCACTACGATGACTTAAACCCTTCAATATGGCGACTTAATCCTTTGAGCATGATGACTTAACCCATTGAGTATGATGAGTTAATTCCTTCAATATGGTGACAACCCCTTGAGTATGATGACTTAACCACTTCAATATGATGACTTCAGTATGAAGAGTTAATCCCTTGAGTACGGTTCCATCATATCAATAGGTTAAATAATCACATATTCTCTGTATAGTGCGAGCAAGTATGGCAGAAAATAAAAGGTATATCACTAACGCAAAAGCTATCACAGTAACGTAATATAGGCAGGTAACACGAGTTAGTAACGAGGCGGTTAATAAAAGAGAGACATTTAGGCGACATCTATCAACAGTGTAATAATTATAATCATCTCTGTATCAATGGAATGATACATTGCAACGATATGGATAAGTAATTACGTAATGTAATTCTTCCGCAGCACATTAATAGTGTAAGAATCAACAACGAAGCATATATATGACGCTACGATAACAACTAACACCTCTAATAATAATAATAATAATAATAATAATAATTATAATAATAATAATAATAATAATAATAACAACAACATATATTTGTGTCTGGTCATTCATGTCGGGTATTTGCCAATCCAGATATACAGTATTGGACAATGTGGCGTGGTGACCAGGAGCTATCATGAGTCACCCACCCGCTTCCGTTTTGCACACCTGAGCGATTTCCTCAATATTTTCATTTAATTCACAAATTTAACCAGGTAGTGTGGTTGGGTGACGAGCGGGTAAGGTGTGGTTCATAATACACAAAACTCAGGAAAAGGTGAATGAGGCAGCATCGTTGACTCATTTTTCAGCAACTTATAAAAAAGCTTTAGGGGAAATTATAACATTACTTAACAACTTACAATAACAATATCGTCTACAATAATAGCAGGAGACTTTGTTCTCTTTATATAACTGGACATCATATGAGAAGAAATCGTCTTAACCTAATATTTGGTATAGCCAGAATAATATTTAAAGTACATTATGATTCGTATATATCACGAGATAACTACATAATTGTTAAATAAATGTCTACCGTGTTAAAAAATTCTTACTATAAATAGAATCAACGAGTGATAGTTTATTTAACTCAATTCTGTTAAATAACTTCAAAATAATACATCTCATTTGTTCTAATACTTAAAATAACATCACCATATGAAGCCTCACTTTGCTACGTTAATGATATAGAGTCAAACAAATTAAAGATTGTCATGCAAGAGCGAAAAACTATACCTGAGGTAGATTTTGATATAATTTCTATCTCTAAAAAGATAATGAAGGTTAAAAGCAAGTGATCAAGTATAGTACAGGTATTTTGAGAGGTTTAATTTATCCTCTTTGTTTTGGATGTAATAATTCACTCAACGATTATTATAACATCTTCGCTGTATGACTGAAAGACGTATTATTAGACCTAACTTTAGAAATAACAGAATAATCATTGAACGTAGCATAAAGGGTGTCTCAGAAATTCGTACTAAGTATATCGACGAGTTGAATGCATTAAAATCAACCCACTAGGACTGATAAAACATTCAGATGGACTTACATGCAAAAACTCTTATCTGTATGTAAATTATTAATGACATGCAATTTGAACGTTTGTGTACATTGACATGATATCCGCTATTATAACCTTTTCAAAAATAAGGAAAACAATCTAATATGCCAACAGCCTCCTAACACATCCTAGCGAACCAAGTCGACAGCTAAAACCATTCATCTGTACAGTAACAAAAACTAGTCACATGGAAAGTACGAAAAATTATACAGTGGCTAGACTAACTAACTCTTCTTGAATATAAACGGTGGCGTATTTTTCTAGTGTAAAAAATAGTCACCAAAATTTGGCAAAGATTGTCATATCCGCAAAGTAGCCGTCATAGGCAGAACACACAGGAGTAACACGGAGACGCTCATCTAAGTTGAGAAATTAGAACTATTATTAAAAGTACGCAATGAGAATATATTTAACTCTTACGGAGAATAAAGTAAATAACACTACCATACTAAGCTTTAATATATTTGTTTATTTTGTTTTTCTCCAGCTTTGGCGATATAAGCTTGAGAGTTATTGTTGATACTGAGATGTACATTATGCTCATACACCTTCACGTTGTAGTAACCAGTTAAGTCAGGTATGTATAGTATCTATCAACTCTATACCTGGTGCTGTATCACCTCGCCTTCAGGTGTTGGAGTCAGGCTACCTCACAGCTGTTGGCAGATCACACCTTTGGTACATCACACCTTTGGCAGATAATATAACCTGTCTACAACACCTGTAGGACACACCAGGTATTTGCATCTCAAGGAACCAGTTGGTACTTCTACTCTTGTTTTCATTATACTACGGGCAGTGTGTGTGTGTCAGTCTTGTACTCACACAGACCAGGTAATTCATCATACCAGGTAACTCTCTATCATTCGCTTTCACTAATTTGGAGGTTCTTACACCTTCAGAGTTACCTGTGAGAGAGAGAAAGAGAGAGAGAGAGAGAGAGAGAGAGAGTCTGTAGGTGTGATGTGTTAATATCTTTGAATATACTCGCTCTAGGTATTTACTGTATATACCTGACATACTGTAGTAAGATAGGGTAAGGAGATGCATATATCGTGTGTGTGTTTGTGTGTGTGTGTGTGTGTGTGTGTGTGTGTGTGTGTGTGTGTATTTTACTGAGGTGACAGACAAGGGCCACCACAGTTTAGCTTCTGTGGTTCCCTTCTATGGTTCACTTATTACGTCACTAATGTACTGCAAAATATACTATTGTCTCGTATATAAACCGGAGGAGAAACAAAACATTCGAAAACTGTTACGTAATTCAAGATTGTCTCGAGTAGATCTGAGAGTGACTGAAGAGAGTGACTGAGTAAGGGAAACAGTAAACAAGAAAATACACAATGTTGAACTGCTGCTTAAGACGTAAACGAAGAACACGTGAATCGCTCAAATGAATCAATTTGGTCAATGAATGATATTTGTATCCTTTGTTTCTTAAGAGTTTCCCATCTATTAACACGACGTTTCAGTATTTCTCGTCTTCTCTCTTTTACTCTTCAAGAATACTACGAATCCCAGAGAATATCCAGAGGAGCTTTGTGTATAAAACTTATGGGTGTAAACATTCACAGGTGTACACAGGGTTCCACACATCAACACAGATCTCACGACTTTTAACCTTTCAGATTAATAGGAGAGCTAAAATTTCTTTAAAGTTTATGCAAATATTAAAATGGCAAAAACTCGACACTTGCAAGAATATAAAATTTAAGTGAAATTCGTTGATGCACAAACTGCACTTGGGTTTATGTCCAAGACATAAGTCACCCAGAGAAGGTTTAAATAAGGATGGAGAGCGAGGCACTCACCCACACTCACCTTATGTATTGGGGTAAATCTTATCCTAAATAAATCTATTCAATAGAGAATCTCTCAAAAGGATGTTTTATGACAATGAGAAACACATATAGATGAAGAAATGCACAATATTATCAACACACATCCACAGCAAGCGGGAAAATATCACCTAAAATTGATGAAAAACTTTGAAACTTCGTCTATTCTACTGAGGAAAAGTTTTTTGTTTATATTAAACGGGAGAGTTGTTAATAAGAAACTGGACAAAAGGAGCACCAGAGGTTTAGCTCACGTAAAATTATTCAGAATAGTCCTTCAGAGAGCAGTACCTGGGTGAGGTCCCCAGGCTTGATCACCGGGTGGTACAGGCGACTTTCTGACGTAGACGAGGTCACACCACCCTACCAAGCAGGTCACCACCCTGCAGGCACCGTGAACCTCCCTCGTCATCTCTGAGTTTTTAATTGTTTTGAGCCTCCTGCGTTGAGGTTGTCTACTAGCTATGACTTTTATAGTTTTGAGGTATTATGACGGTGTATGAATTCACTTATCTACATATAGGTCGGTCTACATGTTGAGTGATACTTAAGAATACTGTTTTGTTTGTCAATTGTGTACTGAACCCTCAGAGGACGAGCAGTACATGAGGGAAAGTCCTGAGACTGGGAAAGCTTCCAATCTGCTGTTGATTTTCATTGTTTATTAAATTACCATTCGCCAGTTGGTTAGTTTCCTGTTGATTTTTATTTGTTTACTATTGTCATTTTCTTCATTGCTTACCATCGTGTTTAGAACATATTCACATACACTGAGAGGTTGTTGTTACTTATTACCTAGTACACCAAAGTTGAAGTAAAGCAGTTTAGTAAGAAAAATGGCGTGAGTGTTGAGGAGTAACCAAGTCCTTTTATGATAGGATGACTTTACCGTGCGCATTGTGTGTATATGCACCAGTAGCGTGCACACTCGTTCATTCTGGCTCTCTTCGTTGTCTTGTTTGCTTGTTCATCAGTTATGGTTCGTTCTTGTCGTCGTCACATCTTCTCGAGAAAGTGAATACAGTGATGTTAAATTTGTCTTTTCTTATCTGGAATAATTATAATGAAAGCTCCAAATAGTTAATCATTTCATGGCCTGAGTTTTTCCTTTCTCGTTATTATTTCTTTCTTTTTGACACTTTTCCCAGGGGATGTTGTGGCTCCCCTGCTCACTTCCTTCTTACCGTCGACCACTCCATCATGTTTTCTCGTGTTGCACATTCGTTAGCTTCCTCTTTTTTATTCCAGTTTCTTCGGTGTCGTCAATAGCATTTTATAAATTTCCCTTTACTCTCACGTAACTCAACAATGTATTATTCCTGTCTTTCACTGTGTCGCCGCTGTTGTCAGTCCGTCTACCACCACCTGCCTCACCTCCTGTAGAGTCTCTTACAACTGCGACACAACTTCTCAGATTATCCTGACTTGTTCACTTCATTGTCTCTATCTACTATATTTACACTATTTATCATGATTTGTCAGCCTTTGTTATCACTCTTATAACTCTAGATATAGATTTGTATTTTTTTATTTTTTTTATTTTTGACGCGTGTTGGCTCAGTGCTTCTGATACCCCCGTCTGGAGCAGTCTTCACCCTCCATGGCACACTCCAGCTTCACTCTGGCGATGATCGCACTCACCATAGCCTCTTCCTGTTGCCTCTTCGCCTCCTCCATCGTTTTGTTGACACTCTGCCAGTCTCTCTTACGGGGTCGCTCACCACACGTTGGTTTCATCCTGGAAAGGTTTCTAGCATTAGTCATCGCCATAGAATTTGAGCACTTGCCAAAAAAGTCGCTTCTCATCTCGTCTTAATCAGACTTTTTATATTGTGACGTATGAACATGACGTCACACAGAGATGGACCTTAAAACAAGGTCGTCATCCTGATTCTCAGTAAAAGTGATCAAACAGTAGGAACACGCGCCTTTAATAGTCACTTCGCGTTTAAAAAAATCTGAAAAATAAAATTTATCCTCAAACACAATTGTTAGTAGGCCAAGGTGTTAGTGGAAACTTGTGGAAACAGGCAAATGTAGTACCCATATTCAAAAAGGGAGACAGAGCATCAGCGTCAAATTACCGGCCGATCAGTTTGACGACAGTAGTGGGGAAATTTCTTGAATCAATTATAGCAGATAGCATCCGATCGCATCTAGAGAAAAGCAAATTAATCTACGACTCTCAACATGGGTTTACAAAGGGAAAATATTGTCTAACAAATCTGCTAACGTTTTTTAGGAAAGTCTTCGAGGTAGTAGATAATGACGAAAATTACGATGTTATTTACTTGGACTTTAGCAAAGCATTTGACAGAGTACCGCATCAGAGGCTTCTGAGAAAAGTTAAGGCTCATGGTATCGAGGGGAAAGTTTTAAATTGGATAAAATCATGGCTCACCGATAGAACGCAGAGGGTCAGCGTAGATGGTGTTAAATCTGAATGGGGCCGTGTAACCAGTGGGGTTCCCCAGGGGTCAGTACTAGGCCCACTCTTGTTCATAATCTACATAAACGATCTAGATACTGGGATCAGCAGTGACTTAAGCAAGTTTGCGGATGACAACAAAATAGGGCGGCAAATTAATTCAGGGCAGGATGGAAATGCATTACAGGAGGATCTAAATAAACTGCAGGGGTGGTCTGAAAAATGGCAAATGAAATTCAACATCAGCAAGTGCAGCGTACTTAATATTGGAAGAACAAATACTTATAATGTATACATCCTTAACAACATCAACCTAGAGAAGTCGACTTGTGAAAGAGACCTAGGGGTACTTGTAAGCCCGGACCTACGGCCTAGAAAACAGTGCGTTAATGTTCGAAATAAGGCAAACAGAGTATTGGGTTTTATATCTAGAAGTGTAAGTAACAAGAGTGCAGAGGTCTTATTGCAACTATATCTTGCGCTAGTCAGGCCGCACCTCGATTATACGGTTCAGTTCTGGTGCCCCTATTATAGAATGGATATAATTCACTAGAGTCGGTGCAGCGAAGAATGACAAAAATGATTCCGGGACTTCCATATCAGGATAGGTTAAAGAAACTTAACTTGCATTCCCTAGAAAGACGAAGAGTGCGGGGAGATATGATAGAAGTATTTAAGTGGGTGAAAGGAATCAATAAAGGGGATATAGATAAAGTTCTTATAATATCCGAGCAGGATAGGACTCGGAGCAACGGATTCAAGTTGGATAAGTTTAGGTTTAGGAGGGAGATAGGAAGAAACTGGTTCACAAATAGGGTGGTGGACGAGTGGAACAAGCTTAGCAACTTTGTAGTAAGTGCGGGAACTCTGGAAAGTTCCAAAAGGAGGCTAGATAGATTCATGGATGATAGAGAGTGGTAGTAACTCTCGACAGGAGCTGCCATGCACAGGCCAACCGGCCTATTGCAGACTCCTCATTTTCTTATGTTCTTATGTTCTTATAGAGTAACCTACATTCCTGTGTGGCAATAATATGATGAACTCTAATTGGAGACTTAATATCTATGTCAACAAACTGATAATTAAAAGCTAAAGTTAGAAGACGTTTGGATGTATTGATGTTTTTTTGACCAGTCTTCCTTGAACGGCAACACGTCGTCAGTACTCGCTGACACTGACAGTAAAATACTTTTGCTGTAGATGTCATTAAGAGCATCAGTGTCCGGCCATAAGATAGTCTCGGTAATACTGATCAATGAATACTGACGGATAAATGGAGTCAATAGAATCAGTTCAGTTTTTCCTTTATATTTGGAGTTTCCAGTTGAATTGAGGAAACAGTTAAATAGTTTTCCTTTAATTGTCGTAAGGCATCAGTTTTAAGTAAGGCGTATTTTTTTCTTTTTTAAGAAGAAAGTTGTTTTATTCAATGTGACACATTTTTTATTTAAATTTTAAGTTTTATTTTGGTGTGTTGTGATGTGATGTACAGTATACATTACTTACAGGGGGTCAGTGAAAGACAATCGATTTCATTGTCCCGAAAGAAAAAAATAAATCTTTCCCTTTTTTGTTACAATCGCCGGGAATAAATGCATTTCACAGCCCGGAACTCCACCCATGCCACAGCCTTTTGCATACAAGTGTCAGCACACAGCCCACCAGCCACCCGAGTTTTCATTGGTATGCGCCCAGAGGGACAAGCCAGCACAAAAAGGATTTAGTCGGCAAAATCAGAACAGTGTGTTTCTGTGTAGGGAGAGAGGCGAGGCGGGAGGACAAGTTATACGGCAATGTTTTGTAACTTGATCTACCTTCTTAAGAGTATATCAAGGTGAAGGTTCAATCATGATAGTGTGTTAGTATTAAACATCTGTTGCAGTTTTGTCTCTTAATGCCTATTTTGATAGACTTTCCTACTGCATTCACACAAAATATTGCGGTAACACATGTTTCTGGTTAAACTCTAACATTCTCTAAAACTCGCAAAAAAAAAAAGGTTCACCTCAACATACTGAAATGAATAACTTCCCGTCTGTGTATATTTCCGGGACTTAACGTGTTGATGTTGAATACACAATACTGATAGAAAGATAAGTTATATGAATTACGTTTTTTCGATGATTGGCACTCTAGCTCGGATAATAATCATATGCTTTTGTGAGTGGCTGGCAGAAACACTTGTTATAGAATACTTCAACTCATCCCTTGTGACAAGGTCTTATCTCAAATAGCTTTTGAACAAGAAACCGGAGAAATAATCGTTGAAATGTACCCAATAGTAAGGTAAATGCTGTAAGATACAAACTGCAATTAAGGAGAACGTCTCTAATCTCTGAGGAAGATGTAGTACAGGTAGCAAGTGTAAAAAGTCTTAACGAGAGGATAAGTGTGTTATGCACCTGAGTAAATTATGAAAGAGATGAATTCAAGCTTAAGTTCCAAGGAAATTAAACAAGAAAGAGATTTTTTATTGGTATGTGCTCTGAGATGAGCATTGGGTATTATGAAGACGATACTGTTGATATTAAGAAAAGTATGAAATATAATACTAAGGCTGGAAGTAGTGGAGTAACAGAGAGAAATACAGAAATTGTGAAGAAGAGAAAAGGTGATAATAAATGTCTATAATCTCTAGAACACACCCCAAAAAAATGAGATCGTAAAAGAAGTTAGTTTCTCCCACGACCTGAAAATGAAAGAAAGAAAACATAACAAATAACTAAGACAGGAAACTAGTAAAGAAATGAAAGTGAGAATGAATCCGGAAACTACAGTATGTGGTATCCCCGAAGACGACCATGGGGAAGAGACAGTGTGAAAATGCAAACGAAGAAAATACAAGAAATAGCAGAGGGATCATCAGTGACAGAAGACCTCCGATATAAATGTGAACCCTGGAGCAATAGCACCCCCCTACAGTATACATAATGTAGTTAAGTTTACTACTTTATTTATCGATGTAGATGTATATATAAACTCAAGCTGAAATACAGGAATTGAAAACTAAAAATGACCCAGATGGAAATGTACCCTCGTGTGATAGCACTGCAGGAGGTGAGACCTAGGAACTTCCGATATGAGAGGATGCCTGTTGAATATGACCGAGATGGATATGAATTAATTGACAAACTCCTCAGTACAGATGGGGGGAAGAGGTCTATTGTCATATATTAAAAAGTGTTTACTCTTTAATTTTGTGCAATTGATTCCAAATTTCTGAGAATATATTTGTGTTGAAGTGGAAGGTATTCGTGTACAGTCTGCTAATTGTATCAATATATAGAAGTCCTAACGGTGACAGGAAGAACAACGAAAAGCTTATGGATTTAATACAGGAAATTGGAGACTTAGGCAAGAGTTACAAGATATTAATTGGAGATTGAAATTTTTGAAATATCAATTGGGTAAATTACACAACAAAGGCAAATGTTGATGAAATGGAATACGAATTTATTGGAAAAAATTAAAGATTGTTACCTTACTTGATAGATAAATTATATCATATTTTAGGGTATAGGGTCAGGAAGTATTATGAGGCAGACATATTAGAGGATTTACAAATTACAAGTCCCATTGGAAGGAGTGATCATGCTTGTGTAAGTTTTAATAATGACATAAAGGTACAGGAAAATATATGTAAGAAAATGGTATACATGTACGAAAAGGCTGATTATATTTCACTGAGGTAAGAGTTTAGTATTAATTGGGGTGATCTGTTATACTCTCAGCTGACATTGAGAAGAAATGTAATAAGTTTCAAAGACAATTTAAGGAGGTAATTGGTAAGTGTGTAACCAGGAAAGAAATTAAGATGAAGGACATTTTGAAGAAGAGGAAATTTGCAGACTGTCGATAAACACAAACGTTTGGTTAAAAAATAATAGGGGAAAGTCAAAGAGAAAGAAGGAAATGATGGGTGAGAGTAATGCCGACCAAGAATACCAAAAAGAAGGAAGATACTATATACAGACAAATAAACAAATTAGAAAAGAGAGGAGAAGTGAAATTAAAAGAAAGAAAAGAAACATTGCTCAGAACGCGAATACCAAACCAAAGATTTGCTATAAGCCTGTCGAGTCAAAAACAAGGACCTAACCAAGTATTCCCGAACTACACGTAAATGAAGAGACGAAACGAAAAAGATAAATGATTAGCAAAAAGTTGATATTTTAATTAACTCCCTCAGTAAAGTGTTTACAAGAGAACCTCCAGGTATTAACAAATGTTTTAAGAAGTTAAAGAGAAATAAGTCACCCGGGTCAGATGAACTACATCCAAGGGTAGTCAGACAAGAAATACACGAGGTAGTAAAACTGTTTAAATTTCTAATTGAAGATTCCTTAAAAAAACATCAAATACCCTGAGAATGGCGCATGGCAAATATAAGTGATATTTTACAAAAGGAGACCGGGCAGATCCTGGGAGCTGTAGACCCGTTAATCTCGCAAGTAGAATATGTAAAGTAATGGAGGCACTTGAAGTTCAAACTGTTCATTGAAAAACAGTTAGGATGTTTACCGGGGAGGCGTACAGTTTTGTGAGTATTGATTGGACCAGTGGAAAGAAATACTAGTTGATGGTGATGCAATATACTGTACCGTCAGGAGATGTACTGCACCATCAGGGGGTGTACTGCGGCTCCAGAAAGTATGCGATAGAGTACCTCGCCAAAAACTGCTTGAGAAGCTAAAACTCCAAAACTCTTACTCTCAGTAAGAGTAAACAAAGAGTTATAGTGAAATGAACGGCATTGGAATGGAGTAGTCATCAGTGGAGTGTCCCAGGGCTCAGTGATCAGGCTGCTGCTGTTTGTGATATCTATAAATGGACTTCCTGAGTGATACAGAATTAAAGTGAAGTATATCTTTATGCAGATGATAAAAAAAAATATAGAGAGCAGTAAGGAGGACAGAAGACAGAAACACTGCAAGAAGACAAATTAAATGAGATGCTGGTCTGAAAAATGGTTATAAAATTGTATCCTTAAAATATACATTATATGACAATAGGAAATGGCAGTATTAGTAAACATGAATATAACACATACGATAAGATGGAAGAATTGGTGTCCGAGAAAACCATTGGTGTTGTAACTGACAATAATTTAAGATTTGCTGAACTGACAGAAAAGACAAATAAGACAAACCGAATTGTAGGGCTCATAAGGAGGACATGTGTGAACCTGAATAAAAAAATATTTAAGTCTTTATGTGTGGCACTCGAGGCACGTCACATTGAATATGCGAACCAAGTTTGGGCACTAAATTTGATCAAGGATAATGCAGCGGTGGAAAGCGACCAACTGCGGGTAAACAAGCTTGTGCCGTCCTTGAGGAACTTTCAAAATACTGAGTGAAGTGTACGACAGTGAAGTGTGTGATGATATATTGTTATCAGGAGAGAATAAACTCCTAGAATGGTCTACCACCACAAGTTATCGGATCACAGAGTAGTTAAATTTGATAAGAATTTAGACCAGTCATGGAAGGATTCAGGCACAGAAACATTGAGCAACTATCCAATGTTTGGTAACTGCCTCGTCCGCTATATAACTCTATCAAGTGTAGAGCTACAGCCACAAGCGTCTTCTGTGAGTATCCGTAAGTAATATCTTGGACACGTCAACCTGCTGTTTGCTGCTCTTATCATCTACACATGATTGTTTCAGCACAACTCTTCTCAGAACTTGACAAGTATTTAATATTATATTTGGTAGCGTTCAAGAATATTTTATGTTAGAAGCGCTTCTCAAGTCACACTGCTTCAGACTGTGTGGCTGAGTGGTGCAAATTATATTTTTATCTTACAGTTATTATAGACATTGATGATTCTTAATGATACAATGTCATCTGCGTGTCATGGGTGTGTGGGAGTTTAGTGCTCAACTTCCCATAAATACTTCATTCTCCTTCTCTTCTATTTTTGTGTATGTGCATCATCCTTCATCCGTCTTTCTCTTGTTGAAACTTTACCATCTCTTATTTCTCTTACTCCATTTTAGTCGGCAAACCTAGGCGCTAAGTCGAGAGTCACCTCATGTCATTTGCATACACATTTTATCAGTTACGGAGTTACACGTACTACTTGCACCAGCCTATCACCAGACCCTCATTACCACACATCACATACCCATAACCTGTTAGATCCAAGACTCACTTAGCATGTTTGACCTCCATGTGCGTCTCGTAGCCTTTCTTGCTCTTATAAACAACCCCGCAGTCGTCACACCGGTAGAGTGCAGTGGCGTGAGTCTTGTACTTGTGGCGGTACCAATGGTTGCGGGAAGGTAGCAGCTCCCCACACAACTTGCACGTCGCAGTCCCGTTGCTGTTGAGCACGTAGTCCAGCGTCACGTTCTGGTCCAGGTCGTTGTTCTCGCACGAGTCTATTACCTGTGGAGGAGGGAAGGTGTTAGTGCTGGTGGTGGAGAAGGAGGGTGTTGGTGATGGAGGGTGTGTGTTGGTGGTGGAGAGTGTTAGTGGTGGTGGTGGAGGGTATTAATGGTGATGGTGGTGGTGTTAGGTTGGTAGAGGTGGAGGAGGGTGGTGGTGGTGGTGGTGGAGAGTGTTAGTGATGGTGGCGTAGATGTGTTAACTGTGGTGGTGGAGAGTGATGGTGGTGGAGAGTGTTGGTGGTGGAGAGTGTTAGTGGTGGTGGTGGAGGGTATTAATGGTGATGGTGGTGGTGTTAGGTTGGTAGAGGTGGAGGAGGGTGGTGGTGGTGGGTGTTAGTGGTGGTGAAGGTGGGTGTTAGAGGTGGTGAAGGTGGATGTTAGTGGTGGTGTTGGTGAGAGGGTGGTGTAGGAGGGGAGGTGGGTGGTGGTGGTGGTTGTGGTGGAGGTGTTAAAGGTGGTGTTGGTGGGGCAGGTGGGTGTTAGTGGTGGTGAAGGTGGTGTTGGAGGGGGAGGTGGGTGTTAGTGATGGTGGAGGTGAGTGTTAGTGGTGGTGGTGGTGGTTGTTAGTGGTGGTGGAGGTGAGTGTTAGTGGTGGTGGTGGTGGTTGTTAGTGGTGGTGGAAGTGGGTGTTAGTTGTGGTGGTGGTGGTTGTTAGTAGGGGTGGTGGTGGAGGGTGTTAATGGTGGTGTTGGAGGAGGAGGTGGGTGTTAGTTGTGGTGGTGGTGGTTGTTAGTGGTGGTGGAGGGCGTAGTAGTAGTGGTGGTAGTAGAAGTAGTGGTGGTTGCAGTAGTAGTGGTGGTGGTAGTAGTAGTGGTGGTGGTAGTAGTCGTAGTACTAGTGGTGATGGTTGTAGTAGTAGTGGTGGATGGTGGTAGTGTTGATGGTGGTAGGTGTCAGTAGCGGTGATGAAAACACGGGTCACAGCGTTGATTGATGGGAGAAAGTTAGGGTTAGGAGGGAGAGAATTAGCAGAGGTGGAAGAGACGGACTGGAGCGATTGGCGGCGTGTGTTGGGGGAGGGAAGTAGGGATGCTGGGGGAGGGAGAGAGAGGGGAGAGGGGAGAGAGGGGAGGTGGATGAATTTAATATCTCATTGTGGGAAAGATGATATTGACGGTAGAGATGAGGGAGTGTGGGAGGAGCTCGTTAATATTAATAGGAATCGGGGAGTGTGATAGCGTGGGAGAAGGACCAACGTAATTATATATATATAGTGGCAAGGGATGTGAGGATCGGGGTGATTTTGTGGTGAAGATGATATATGAGAGAGAAATGGGGGAGTGTTTGTTACGAGTAGAAATGGGGGAGTGTGTGTGTGGAGTAGGGAGGCATTAGTTATGAGGAAAATGGGGATTGACCACGGGTGAGAGTATGGGATGGTGGGGGTGTAATGGGGTGGTGATGGTGGTAGAGTGTGTGGTGGGGGTGGTAGAATGTGTAGGGGGTTGTGGTGATAGTGGGAGAGTTTGTGGTAGGTGTGGTAATGGTGAGAGAGAGGGAGAGAGAGAGTGTGTGGTAGGGGATGGTGGTACAGAGTGTGGTGAGGGATATGAGAGAGTGTGGTAGAGGTGTGATGAGGATAGTGGGAGGTGTGGTGATGGTGGGAGAGTTTTTGATAGGTGTGGAGATGGTGGGAGTGTGTGTGTGATGGGTGTGGTATTGAATGTATGAGAGAGTGTGGTAAAGGATGGTGGTAGAGGGTGTGGTGGGGGTGTGGTGATGGTGGGAGAGGATGGAGTGTCTTACTGTTAACTCGACCAACACTTAAGGGTCATCACTAATCATTTCTACCCCCCACTGCTCTCGTCTGTGTGTGTGTGTGTGTGTGTGTGTGTGTGTGTGTGTGTGTGTGTGTGTGTGTGTGTGTGTGTGTGTGTGTGTGAATCTCTCTCTTAGTCTACCATATTTTAATACCGATATAATCTCTTCAAGAAATAACTAATCTGTGTTGATCCCAATGTGGCTGTACAGTTAGACTACCTATGCCTGTAATTATATCTAATCTATCTGTAATTGTACCTGCAGGCTGCCTGTACCTGTGCTGGCTCTAACAATTCAGAAAATTAATGACCTGTACTGTTATGAACGTTAGTGTTTAGCGACATCAATAATGGTCCTGTAGCGATGCTCGGTAATATGAGAGATTACATTTCTTAAAGGGTGAGATAAGTTTTGAGAAAGCGAAGAGGAACGATAAATCATGGTAACTGATACTTATGAAGAAAGAAAAGAGAAAGCAAGAATGAATGTTACCCGTTTCCTGTAATATGGAATAAACTGTTGAAATTGAAATTTAAAATTGAATAAATGACTTTGAAAGTTATAAATCAGTAAAGATCTTGGTAAAAGTTGTTCCACATTAAATGTCTTATAAGTCCGAAGTTTGTGAAGAAAATTAAGTCAACAATGGACTACAGTACTTCTAAATCAGAATTAGTAAAGAAGAGAATGCATTAGACTGAAGAAGAAGATAAAGAGAGATGATAGTAAACGAGCGACGAGGAAGAACGAGCAGATAAAAGAAGACAATAATGAATGAAGATAATAACCAGGTCTAGAGGGACTTGTTGTATGGGCGCCAGTATGGAGGGAAGGGCTGGGTTGGTGAGAAGGGGCGTCGGGGTGGTGGCGGGGGTCACTGCCGGCGTGGAGGTGGGCGTCCCTGGCGTTGGCGTGGGCGTGGGTCGTTCCTGCTTGACGGGCGTTGACCCTCTAACCACACCGCCCTCAGCCGTCCATATATCCGGGACACAGCAGAGTTCTGGAAGAGACAGAGAGAGTTAGATGGGTTCTTGTAAGATAAGTTAAAGTAACGAGTCCACATCATAGACCAACATCTTAATGGTGTAAGGAGGTAGTATGTATGAGTGTTATAATATAAGACTCCTGCTACCCATGTAAAAGCGACAGTACAGGCAGAAGGCGAGCTAACCCTTGTCTAGCTCTCATAAACGAGTTCTTCAACGATAGAGAGGAACTTGTCGCTGTTGACTGCTCGTGTTGGCGCTGTTGGTTGCGCTCGTGTTGGCGCTGTTGGTTGCGCTCGTGTTGGCGCTGTTGGTTGCGCTCGTGTTGGCGCTGTTGGTTGCGCTCGTGTTGGCGCTGTTGGTTGCTCGTGTTGGCGCTGTTGGTTGCGCTCGTGTTGGCGCTGTTGGTTGCTCGTGTTGGCGCTGTTGGTTGCGCTCGTGTTGGCGCTGGTTTTATGGTAGGTTGTAAACAATCCTACCGCGCAGACTAGTATAAATTTTTTGTATGTAAATTTATCGATACACAGATTTTTGTACATGATAAAACAACCGTACTATCTTCAGCGGTACAATACACTCTTTTATTAACTCGCAGTGATTGACTTAATTTTAAGGTAATGTACATTGAAGATGACCAATAATCTGACATAAATTTGTTGTTGTTACTTTGCTCGTAGAACTATTTGGGTCAGACCGAGAGTGAACCATCTTACCTTAGTTATCGTCTACTTAATGGTAACGATTGTGATATATTTATTGTATAGACGGAATTATTTATTATTATTTATCATACAGTTAATCGTGAGAATACAAATATTACTTACTCCTACTGCACCATCAAACAGCCTTAAGGTGTCAACACAAAGACTATTAAATTTCGTGGATGACAATTATTTCGGATCACCTGAGTAATAAACCCCTAATTTATTGAAGACTTAACAACCTAACGGTAACCTTACAGTAATCTACCCCCCCCCCCCTCCTCAGGTAGCGTCAGGGTGATTAATCTCCAGGTTAAATAAATTGAGGTCCCTAATTATCAGGTGTTCTATTCTAATAAGAATTAACTACTCCGTGAGGTTAGTCCATTATGTGAGGTGAATGATGAAGCTTCAGGGGGTGACAGTAGTGGTTCGCGTCTTCTTCTCTCACGAGTTAATTAACTTAGTGAAAGGTTTTAACTTTTATTTTTTTATTTTTTTTATTTTTTGCAATTGTTGGGTATTGTGACGATGTGTGTGTGTGTGTGTGTGTGTGTGTGTGTGTGTGTGTGTGTGTGTGTGTGTGTGTGTGCTAGACAAAATCTGACTGCAACTTGACATTAACTTGACGTATAGATCAGTTTATATTTGGGTTCAGTGTTACATCCAAGTCTTGTGGGATTGAGTATTATAAACACCTGGAGAGTTACTTTGGTATGGTGAAGGTCAAACTCGAGTTAAATTATCCTTAAGGAACTCGAAACGTAAAAATTATACCCAATTATACCCAGAATATAATTTTAGACCGATGTTGATGTTTTATAAGTTGAAATATAATTAGGTGTATGTATAAGTATGTGTATATTAATTTGATATATGTATACCATTATAGCAAGGCAAAAGTTGGCATTGAACACATCTGCCCTCCACCGGATAGACAATTAATCCATATAACAGCGAGTATCATAATACGTGGGTCGAAAAAGCATTATATTATTTGTTTATATCAACCATAAAATGTATGAGTGTTTGTTGCAGGTAAAGAATGAATAATCTCTCTCTCTCTCTCTCTCTCTCTCCCGCTGTTTATATAATTAATTGACATTTTCTTATTGATTAAATAACCAAATCGGAAAAAAAAGTACATTAACCTTTATTACCTTATGAAGACAGTTTATAATACATGTAACAACAGATAAGAAAAGGTTAATGTTAGGTTAGTATTAGGTTAGGTTAGGTTAGGTTAAGGTGCAATTCTCCAAAAGGACCTTCCACATCCTCCACCACCCTCCATGTTCTCCACCCCCAATACAACTTCTCCACCTTCCACACCCTCCATCACTTACCACCTCATCCACCAGTTTCCACGTCCCTCCACCCGCTCTATTCCCCTCCACTCACTCTATTTTTACCCACCCACCCTATTTCCCTGCCACCCACCCTATTTCCCTTCCACCCATCCTATTTCCCTTCCACCCATCCTATTTCCCTTCCACCCATCCTATTTTCCTCCACCCACCCTATATCCCTTCCACCCATCCTATTTCCCTTCCACCCATCCTATTTTCTTCACCCTCCCTATTTTCCCCTCGTCTCATATCAATACACTACCTGTACTATCCCCAGGTGACAATTTTACTCGTGTTCAGTTTGTGTTCTATTTGTTCTTCCATGTAGATCTGTTCACTGGATCGATGCTCACTTGTCTTGTAAACATTTCTGTGTCTCGGTGAAACTCGCTTTTCCGGCTGCATATTTAATTAGATTTTTTTTTTTTTACCGGAAAAATTCTTTATTTTTCTGTGCATTTTCAAACTACTGTGTAACAACGAGAGAGAGAGAGAGAGAGAGAGAGAGAGAGAGAGAGAGAGAGAGAGAGAGAGAGTATGATATTTACAATAATGTTTTGTCGGTTTTCTGTAAGGTTTTGCCTTAGGGAAAAATAAATATTTTTACGTCTTTCAAAGAACTCAGATTTTCAGTTGACCACAGCTGGGTTAGACAGAAACTATGCATTGGAAACCAAGAATCTGTACATCATTTTTTTTCTGTAGAATTTAAAGTAAAACTTTGTAAACTTAGCTCGAAATACTTTTTTTTTTACAGGAGCTGCGGTTGTCTGCTCTTAGTACTGTACTATAAACGATATGGTACATTGAATAAGTACTAGTATTAGCATTTGTGTTATTATTATGATTATTATTATTATTATTATTATTATGATTATTATTATTATTATTATTATTATTATGATTATTATTATTATTATTATCGAAGATTATTTTAAATAGCAGACATAGTTTCAATGTTATGATTGCTTTTTTTACTTGATACAATTTACCAGACAAACTACTTTATTATGTGAGCTAAACTTTACAGTGACTCAACACAAAGGAAGGTGTCAAGGCTGGTCATACTTCCCAATATTTAGTGATGATCAATGAAAGAAGGATATGAATATTCAATGAGAACAAATAGTAGATGTGTCAAAAAGAATCGTTCGGGAGCACTATGACGCTAGCCGTGGATGTGTTAGCAGTACTGTATAGTGCAACCAAAGTATAGATAAGTTTCTTTGCGTGTCGGATGAAGTTGACAAAAACTAGTGATAATAGAAAAAGAAATGTAATTTTTTTAGCAATGAAAACAAACGCTAGACGTGTCAGATATATTCACTCACAATTCATATGGTGTCAGAACTGGATGTGTAAGGAAGGCAGGTCGGGTTAACGAAGACAATTGAGTATAAAAGAAAAGACGAAGTGGCGAAGAGAAGAAGTATTTGGACGTTTCAGAAAGATTCGTTCTAGATTTCTCTGATAACGGACCAGGATGGCAGAGCACAGGAATGTAGATGAGGTCCTCCGTCTGTCAGCTGGGGGTGAGGGACAGGTGGTGGTTGTGTTGATGTATCCAGACGGTTCAACGGCCTTGGTCTTTCAACACTCTTCGTTGAGTCTTCCTTTCTTTCCAGGACAGCGAAGACTAAGTATTAAGCAATATATATTTTTTTATCTCATGAAGATTAGGCACTTGAGCTTATTTCCCTTGACTAAACACCCTAATGTTAATTTAATCTGACCAACTAACCTAGCAAACTAATCTAGCCTTACCTAACCTAACCTAACCTAACCTAACCTAACCTAACCTAACCTAACCGCCAAGGTAACGTTAGGGTGTTTAATCATCTGGTGAAGTAAGCTGGGGTGCCTAATCTTGACGTCATTCATTTTTTTGTTAATATCATAGTAGGTTGAGTCTTACTGTCAACTCTCTCGTGCTCCACACATCTGTCTCAACCTCTCACCGTCAGTACAGGTACACAGGTGTGGCCATGTCTGGTGGGAGTTTGTCCGATACGTTTATTTTTGTTTTCTAAGAGATTCTATTCAGTGGGATTTTGTTCTCCTGGGAATAAATGCAACGCAAATTTATCAGGATTTTGTTCACGTTCCGCCCACCAGTATCTCCCACGCGTCAGGAGACCACTGGACTCTTGGAAATACCCGCGATATTTCCCAGACTCTTACTCTCTACTGTATCTCTCTCTCTCTCTCTCTCTCTCTCTCTCTCTCTCTCTCTCTCTCTCTCTCTCTCTCTCTATCTCTCTCATAAGGTATCTTAATATAGTAAGATGAGTAACTAAATATTCCCTTGTTATATAAGGTCACATTCCTTCTGCCGACAACAAATGTTTGTGTACATAAATCATTTTCTCAAACTTTGAAAAGTAAATACAATTTGCCAGACTGTCAAGGTGCTAATCAAGAGTTCTCTGATGTTCTCTAGCACATTTAGAGAACAAACCTAATTTGTTCTCTTTAGGTCCCTGAAAAAAACCGTAGAAGGATAGAATATAGGACACAGACATTAAATTATGGAATAGAGCATAAAAGATGAAAAAATACAGAAGGTAAAATAAGATACAATGATAATGATATATTTCTGTCTTCATCTGGCATTATCTCCCTCCCCTCCCTTTTTCTCCTCTTCCTCCTTCTTCCCGACTCCGCTCTCTCTCTCTCTCTCTCTCTCTCACCAGCCACTCATTCGTTCCCTCAACCCCAAAATGGTGACTCCAGGGCCTCTAATAGCTGTCGAGCTTTACAAGAGAACTACCCTTCCCCTCCACCAGCGACCCCTCAGGGATGCTGTTCTAGGTCTCAACGTGAATAATTGAAGGGAAAGTCTCGATGGACAAGGGCGAACAAGAGCAAGTGGCGGATTTAAGCTGCAACCAACAGGAGTGACGATGGCGGTGGTGGTGGTTGTGTAGGTGGTGGTAGTGGTGTAGGTGGTGTAAGGTGGTGGTG